CTTCTCGAGCTCCTGGGCCAGCGTGGCCGCGCGCTTGCTGGCCTCCTCCTTCAGCCGGTGGTACTTCTTCACCTGGGGGGATCACCTGGGGCTCAGCTGGGGGCTCCCCAAATCCCACAGGGCCAGCTCACCTGGGGGGCTCACCTGGGGGCTCCCCAAATCCCACAGGGTCAGCTCACCTGGGGGGGGGTCCCCAAATTCCACAGGGTCAGCTCACCTGGGGGGCTCACCTGGGGGCTCCCCAAATCCCACAGGGTCAGCTCACCTGGGGGGCTCACCTGGGGGCTCCCCAAATCCCACAGGGTCAGCTCACCTGGAGGGGGGTCCCCAAATCCCACAGGGTCAGCTCACCTGGAGGGGGGTCCCCAAATCCCACAGGGTCAGCTCACCTGGGGGGCTCTCCCAAACCCCAAAACCCCAAATCCCCATACCTGGCTCCCCTCCAAGGTCAGATCCCTCCCAAACCCCACAGCCCCCAAATCCCACCCTGTACCTGGTTCTCCTCCAGGGTCAGATCTCTCCCAAACCCCAAATCCTACCCCATACCTGGTCCTCCTCCAGGGTCAGATTCCTCCCAAACCCCAAAACCCCAAATCCCACCCCATGCCTGGTTCTCCTCCAGAGTCAGGGCTCTCCTCCCAAATCCCACCCCGTACCTGGTTCTCCTCCAGGGTCAGGGCTCTCCCCTGGCTCTGGCTCTCCTCCATCCCTCCCAAACCCCAAAATCCCCAAATCCCACCCCGTACCTGGTTCTCCTCCAGGGTCAGATCTCTCCCAAACCCCAAATCCCACCTCGTACCTGGTTCTCCTCCAGGGTCAGGGCTCTCCCAAACCCCAAATCCCACCCCGTACCTGGTTCTCCTCCAGGGTCAGGTCTCTCCCAAACCCCAAAATCCCCAAATCCCACCCCGTACCTGGTTCTCCTCCAGGGTCAGGTCCCTCCCCTGGCTCTGGCTCTCCTCCATCCCTCCCAAACCCCAAAATCCCCAAATCCCACCCCAT